TTTTTTTTTTTTTTTTTTTTTTTTTTTTTTTTACGATCTGCTGTCCTCCCCCGAACACTATGCAACCTCATCATGAATCATGAATGAATGTGGACAAGATATCTTTATCTGATCATGAACGAATGTAGACAAGATATCGTTTGATCATGAATGTGGTGCGTTGTGTTCGGGGAGAAGGCGGTAGCTCTGGTCCAAAAAAGCCAGAGCTCTGGTCAGCTTCTTCAGTCGTTGACCTGCCATTCCTCCCTTACTTTCCTCTTTTGGAAACCTCTGCTCGGGTACTCGGTCGACGTCCGTTGCGAGTTTTTTTTTTTTTTTTTTTTTTAATTTTTAACTTCGCTTCCCTTCTTCTTCCGGCCTGCTGCGTGCACCGAATTCCCGTTCTTTTTGCTGTTGGTTTTCTTCGGTTCTCTTCCCTCTGTTTTTTCTTTAATCTTATCTTTTCTTTTCTCTGCCCTGTTGTTTTTCCTCTTTTCAATTCTCTTCGTCATTGCCTTCCCTCACCTCGTTTTTCCGTCGCCGCTGCACACTGCCTTTGAGATCACTTGGCTTTTTTCAGTTCCTCCCCTCCTACTTCCTCTTTTTCTTGTGTTCAAATCCTTTGGATCTCCTTCGGATCTGATCTGCATTCGACTACCTGGTCTTGCTTGTCCTCAACCTTCTGATATCTTTTCATGATCTCGTTCTTTGTGTTCTGACTGATAACCTCACTGGTCATCGTCGCCTTGCTCTTCTCTCCTCTGCCGTCTCGTGCTCCTGTTCGTCCTCCTCTCGCCCGCGCTCTGCCTCTTCATATGAGAGAGAGAGAGAGAGAGAGAGAGAGAGAGAGAGAGAGAGAGAGAGAGAGACCTGCTATCTTTTCATGATCTCGTTCTTTGTGTTCTGACTGATAACCTCACTGGTCATCGTCGCCTTGCTCCTCTTCTCTCCTCTGCCGTCTCGTGCTCCTGTTCGTCCTCCTCTCCCCGGCGCTCTGCCTCTTCATGTGTGTGTGTGTGTGTGTGTGTGTGAGAGAGAGAGAGAGAGAGAGAGAATCGTCGACCTCTTCGTCCCCATGGGACCTTTCCCACTTCTCCTCCTCAAGCTAACCGGTCCCTTCTCCACTGTCATTTCAACCTCCCGCCTCCTATTGTTTCCCTTTGTTGTCCTGGTTGCTCTCTTCGGTCCTCATTTGACTCTCTCGGACTAGAAAGTTAACTTGTGTACGTTGATTATCAGGGTGCGTTATGTTCGGGGGACAACGGTAGTGCTCGTTTTTTCTCCGTTTTCTCGATGCGTTCTCGGTATCCCCCTCTTCTCTCCTTCTTCTCTATCCCCCTCTCTCTCCTTCTTCTCTATCCTCTTCTCTCTCCTTCTTCTCTATCCCCCTCTCTCCTTCTTCTCTATCCCCCCCTCTCTCCTTCTTCTACTCTTCTTTTCCTGTTGATTTTAGCGCAGCCGGCGTCATATCGCAGAGATCATGCGTGCGAGATTCAGCGGCAGTGGAAAGAAAGGAAAAAACAGAAAAGAAACTCTGCTGAATGAATATAGCCAAGGTCGCCCTCGGTGCATTCGACTGACTGTGTCTGACAGTCCGCATTTCTGAAAGAATGTGCCGTTGACTCACACACAATGAGGAATCTGAATACAACGAGGGGAGGGAGGGTGTGTTCTATTTGAATATGAAATGGGCGTTACATGCGAATGTTTTGCACTGTGCAACTCTGTGTGTGTGTGTGTGTGTGTGTGTGTATGTGTGTGTGTGTCTGTGTGTGTGTGTCTGTGTGTGTGTGTGTGTGTGTTATGTGTGTTTGTGTGTGTGTGTGTCTGTGTGTGTGTTATGTGTGTGTGTTTTATGTGGGTGTGTTATGTGGGTGGGTGTTTTAAGTTTAGGATGAAGAGAGAATATTGAGAGGCAGACTCCCTCGGACGCGGCCAGTCGAAGAAAATGCCCAGGGTTTATTTGCCGTACAAGCCAGTAGTGCTCTGAGAATGCACCTGGACATCTAGACGTGCAAATGCATGATTTTCAGGTAGGCGAACGCAGATGCGTAACTTTCTCAACGATTGCCATCGACTCTGTAGGATTAGGATGCTGAACCTTTTGCAACCCTGAGAGTCCTCTACGCAGGCCCAAAGTCATATAAGGGTAGTCCTCTACGTAGGCCCAAAGTCATATTATAGGGGTAGTTCTCTACGTAGACCCAAAGTCATATAAGGGTAGTCCTCTACGTAGGCCCAAAGTCGTAATCTGCCTGTATGGAGGCTGACCGCTTTCAAATTCCTGCTCTTAGACCCCATTATTTATCTTCCTTTATTAACCCCCTACTGTTCCTGCTCTTAGACCCCAAGCATGATTTATCTGCCTTTATTAAACCCCCTCTGCCTTTCACGACAATTATGGTGACTGAAAAAAAAAATAAAAAAATTATGGTTACCATTCAGTCCCTCTTCTTTTTTCTGTCGTCCAGCGGGAGCGAGGTTTCAGTGGTATGGATTCTTCGTCCCTGTAGTACGTACCTAGACTGAAATCTGGCCCAAATGCAGCTTGTTGATGATCGTGCGCTCTATTCGGGGGACGGCGGTAGTCTTGTGTTGTTCGGCGGAAGGGGGGAGGGGGGTTCAGTCGTCTGGGTTGTTCGCTCGGGTCTGTAGATCACCAGAGTCGGTCACTGGAAACACGCAAAATCTGGGCTTGTCCCAGGTGGCAGGCCTTCGCCTCTGGGGGGAATGGACGTGAGTTCATCATCCTGGTGGTCCCCCCGTCAGTGGTGGGGAAGCTTGGTTTGGTGCCTGTCTACAACCTAGCTCTGTCATTTCCCTCCTTTCCTTTTTTTTGTTTTTTGTTTTTTTTTTGCCCCTGGTTTGGTGCCTGTCTACAACCTAGCTCTTCCATTTCCTTCCTTTCCTTTTTTTTTTTTATACTCTTGGTTTGGTGCTTGTCTACAACCTAGCTCTGTCATTTCCCTCCTTTCGTTTTTTTTTTTTTTTTTTTGCTGCTTT